TAAAACCCTAAAACCCTAAAACCCTAAAACCCTAAAACCCTAAAACCCTAAAACCCTAAAACCCTAAAACCCTAAAACCCTAAAACCCTAAAACCCTCAACACTCTAACTACAATTGGTTATATGTTTAGTACCGCGAACTCATCAGTCGCGCGGGATTGGCTCAGTTGGTTAGAGCGTCAGTCTCATAACATAAGACTAAGAAATCTGAAGGTCGTGAGTTCGATCCTCACATCCCGCAACGTCGACCACTTTTTTTTTGGCACAAGAGCCTCAACCGACAAAGGGGCCCACATGCAACGTCCTTGCACGGCTCACGTTGAACTCCAACTTCCAAGTGACGGCAGGCTGCAGCAGGGTCTAGACTCTAGAGCCTGAGGAACCCTGTCTTGCACGCCAGATTCGGTGGCCAGAAGATATTACTCGAAGACACAGGGACTCAGCTAGGAGAGAGGGTAGAGGTGAGCGCCTCGTGGGGCGGTTTGCCATGGAACGTATGGAGAGCTTTCAGGAGCTGGACGCGGATGCTGTGTCTGATTATGCTCGCAGGTTTGCGGAGAGTGAGCAATTGCAACATGCGGAGGAGGAAGATGATTGGGTTGACCTGCGCAGTATGGCAGCAGGGGGCAGTGGGGACGAATCCAGCCGAGATGACATGTACATGGCCAATGCCAGCCCTCGCACAGATACAAGTGAGGACTTCCTGGAGGAAGATGCCCAAAGGATGCAGACGGGAAACGAGGACCAACACATGGAGGGAAGGGATGGCCACTCCAGGCAGCGGCAGGGAGAAGGAGACATGGATGTAGGGGCGCACCAAGACAAGAAGGGGCTGCCAACAGCGGGGTCAGCCTCGGACAGCGCCCTGCCTTTGTCACCTGAAGAGCAGGCTGCGCAGAAGGGAAGAATGGAGCATGGTTGTTCCCACTACCGGCGGCGGTGTCGCCTGCGTGCCCCTTGCTGCAATGAAGTCTTTACGTGCCGGCACTGCCACAATGAGGCCAAGAACGCGGGGGAGGAGGACCCCAAGCTGCGGCATGACTTGCCGCGCCACGAAGTCACCTCTGTGGTGTGCATGCTCTGCAACATGGAGCAGCCTGTGTCGCAACGCTGCAGGAGCTGCGGGGTCACATTCGGGGAATACTTCTGCGACAAGTGCAGGTGAGCACCGCGTCATTTCAACCTGGCGCCCCACTGTGGCCGCCAGGGGCCAGCCCACAATCCAGCTGCTGCTCTTGGATTTATCATGCCTGTATCGAACAACACTTGACACAGATGTGCAGTGTGCCAGCACTAGATATTGTGGGCCAAGGGAGGAGCAAAGGGCCAATCGGGAGCAACCCTAGCTTAATTTGTTGTTTGCAATTCCCCGTTTCGTGACGTTGGTGCCTTTTTGGAATTGCACATACTGCTGCATTGTTGACTTGAGACAGCACATTGAACCACATCTTGCTCTTTCCAGGTTCTTTGACGATGACATTTCCAAGGAACAGTGAGTTGCGCCCCCTCGCCCGGCCAGCTCCAGTTATGGACTGGACACTAGGAATCGGCCGGAAACACCCGCAAGCTCTCGACCTCTCGGTGCCCAGATTGTCTGCAACACATGGTGGCCCTGCTTCTAGTCTCGAAGATTAGTCTCGTGATTTGTGTAAACTGAATCAGGGATGCTGTGAGTGTGCCCTCAGCCCTGCTGCCCCGCTGCCTGTCTGTGAGCGTGCCTGCTGAGCGCCGTGCTGCGTGCCAGGTTCCACTGCAACGATTGCGGCATCTGCCGCATTGGCGGCCGCGACAAGTTCTTCCACTGCGCCACGTGCGAATGCTGCTACGCCATGTCCCTTCAGGACAAGCACAAGTGCGTCGAGAAGTCGATGCACCACAACTGCCCCGTCTGCTTTGAGGTGACCCCCCAGCTCTGGCTCTTTGCGCGCCCTTCCGCTGCGCCCCTCATGAAGTCTGGCTGCCTTCGTACCCGTCAGCCCTGCATCTCAATCTTCTTCTTGCTAGCATTGCGCGAAGCGCGGTCTGCATCCTCTGAGCCGCGCGCTGACTGGCTGCTCTGCTCTGCTCCTTCCTCTGCTGCGCAGTACCTGTTTGACAGCGTGCACAGCACCAGCGTCATGGTCTGTGGCCACACCGCCCACCACGCCTGCCTCGAGGAGATGCGCCAGCACGGCCAGTGAGTGCGCCGCCCCCCTTGACACACCCTCATGCACCAGCAGGTGCTTGCCTGGCCGCCTCAATCAGCTTGCTATTTGCAGCGTGGTTCAGGGCACTGCCCAGCTTGCTCGGATGTGTAGCTTGTCTTGTACCGAGTACGGGCCAAGGCTATCCGTTAGCCGCCCCATTCCGTGGCCAAGTGCGTTGCTGAGGTGTGAGCGCACTTCTCCCCGCAGCCACCACCACGCGCTCCAGCATGCTTGCGGGCCACAGGGGCTGCCCAGCTGCACCCCTGCTTGTGTGCATCCGCGCTCGTCCTCTTGATGCAGCCTCCGCTGAGGGTTGCTGCCTGCTCGGCGTTGCAGGTACAACTGCCCCATCTGCTCCAAGAGCCTGTACGACATGGCCCCCGTGTGGGCGCAGCTGGACGCTGAGGTGGAGGCCACGCCCATGCCGCCAGAGTACCGCGACAAGCTGGTGAGGGAGCGGCGAGGCAGCACCCTAGTGGGACAGCGCTGGGCCAAAACAGCCTCTGTACACTGGACTGGCAGTTAGTGAATGTTGCAAATGAAATTCCTAGCATGTTTGCAAAGGCAGCGGGTATTCACCTCAGGTTTATGTGCGTACCCCTTGGATAGGCGCGGCCACCGTTCAAAGTGGTCAAAAACAGCATCAGAAGATTGAGCCGGAAGAAGCTCCGGGAATCACGGTTCAGTGTTCCAAGCAAGCTTCCTGCTTCAAACATGCTTTGGCATTCTCATATGTCTCGTAACAGTCTGTTCTGTATCATAGTGGCCTTGCTAATAACGTGCATAAATCATTCGGTTGCATTAGCCTGCGCTTGATCTCCTTCCTGCTTTTCAGGCCGTTGTTTAGCCTCTTGCGCGGCCTGCGTTGCAGGTGTGGATCTTGTGCAACGACTGTGGGGGTATCAACGAGGTGCGCTTCCACCTCGTGGCGCAAAAGTGCCCCGTGATTGACTGTGGCTCTTACAACACGCGGCAGACGCGCGCCAGTGGGAACGCCGCCACTGCAGCTGCCGCAGGGCCCAGCCACACGGGATAGACAAAGAGAGGAGCAAAGGGAAATCGGGGATCATACGCAATGGATAGGGATAGGTGTTCATCGAACGAAGACTCCACTGGTAGGAAGGGCAGGCAGGTCACAGTCTAGGAAACATGTTGACTACGATGCTGTGCATAGTTAGAGGCTAGCAGCCATTGTAGCTTTAGAGAGTAGAAGAAAAACTTGCTCTGCAAAGGGGTCAGCCGGGAAAAGCGACACCACAAGTGTTGCCGCTTCAAGGGCTGTGATTGGTGGACTCTCAGCGCAAAAACCGTCATCATAGCATGCGGTCTGATTCGAAGTGGACATAGTAGGTATGGTCGATCAGGTTTAACAGTGGCATGTGGGACTGCCCACAGATTGACATGTGTGGGCACGACCAGTTTAAACTTCGGTGAATGATGCTGATACTAGCTTGCGAATTGAGCTTTCCTGGCATTTGATTAGACTGGTAAATCATCGAATCCATGTTTTTTGTTTTCGCATAACTCACGTCCGACTTGACGCACTGTTCAGCGTATAATGTCGGCAACCTTTATATGTGGATTTTTTATGGTACATAAGCATTGAATCCGACACCATGCCCTTAATCTGAGAGCTATTCCGTATCGACGCATGGAAGACGGACCGACAATCGAGTCTGATCACTTGTTTGTTAGATCGACCGGACAGAATCAATCTTGCTAGCTATCTTTGGGAACGCAAGTGGCCGCGGTGCATGCAAGAATTGGAGCTTCCTGCTCGATCTGCCATTTGTCTACTATATTGAATGATAATATAGGACCCGGACACTTGAAGGATTCAAATAAGACGAAGTTCTCCGAGGCTCGATCGTGCAAGCTCGGTACGTCGGGCAATTAGCGTGTATACTTAGCATGAGCTCTAGCCTACAGTGCACCGTCCCCAGGGACGGTGCACTAGGGCTAAGCAATGGTACTAGCAAATTAAAGCCTCGATAGCTTACCGTCATGTATATGCGCCGTTATTGCAGTGATTGCACAGCGTGGCGAGGCAAATCTATGAGATTTTGATGCACGGTGAATCATATATTGCGGCGGCAACGATCGGCGTACGTGCATATGCCAGTGGCCGCGCTTCGAGTCTAGACACATGAAATCGGGAGTCGTTAAGAACCGGACTAAGAGCAAGCTCCCGGAGTCCGACTCTCAGCGACGCAATCTAATTTCGATCTTCGATAAGTCAGTGCCTATAATATAGTCTAGCATATTTGAAGAATAAGCCAAAGACACACATCAAACATGTATGCCATGAGAAGCCTATGGCCTATTTGGCTACGGCCTACTAATTTGAAAGTGAGACCATCATAGTTTCAACGATCTGCTAGCCCGTAGTACGTCGGGCCCTCGCTAGCATAGGTTGCAGTCCGTTAGAAGCTTAATGATATATAGACTGATGGACCATGCATGGATAGTTGCGGACCGACGACGTTGCTATAGGAGCTAGATTTGCATGCAGGGCCGGAGGGATTTAGCACATCTGCAGAACTAGATTCGGTAGGGTACGGTAGCTAGGCGTTCAAATTTGTTAATTCCCATGTATAAGCCACGGAAGCCTATATGGCCCAAGCAATTACGGCGTTTGAAAAGAGAGCATCCGATCGAATCAGCGACCATCACTGTATCATTTGCCAATAGCTGCATACGCAATCTCGACACAGCCGCGCCGGCCCGCAGGCGCGTGAGCTTATACATACGCGTATAAATGTATGATTGAATGTGCATGAAATATTCACTAATCAGTATATGTGCTGTGGGGCGCGCATGTGTAAGCTTCCGTACCGTACATCTATATATGATTTGCATGCATGTTATATGCCACGCGTAGGTTGACCGGACTGAAGCATGATCCCATGCATCTGTGGGCCAAAATGCTTTGCACATGTTCCGACAACATGCAGCCGTATATGGACATGGAAGAATCTGTAGAATTCAGGGGTTTTGATTAAGACTCAACAATTTCAGGAACAATTACAGTCTTCAACCAAACCCTGAATTTCTTGGTTCAATGGTCTGACTGAACGAAACGTTGACATTGGGACATCTAATATCACTTGAGTGTCATGAGTCTCGGCTGAGACCGCAATATCAACGGACCCATATCACGGTCCGCAAACACAGCTCACTGAAACAATTGTAAACCGTCCCGGTCGAATAGTCACTGTCGACTTTCGAGTCAGAGACAACAATTGGTCTTCTGCCTGTACAATGATCAGTGCTCCTTATCTTACAATTCTTAGATTGCTAGGATGTTCTGACGAGATACAGATCAAACTTCGAAGTCTTTCGATGATGTACACTCTGATCGCTCACTGTCACCACCTCGCCTACTCATTAAATGCTGTCGGTATGCACATTGGCACCTAGACAACAACTTATTCAAACAAGTTTGTCCCTACACCCAGCTGCAGGCCCTGCATCTCGGCGTTTACATCTCAAGTGGCCGCCCCTTGCAGCGCTTTCCGGTCCTTTCCTGCAGCTGCACCGTCATGCCGCCGTGCAAACTTTAGCTTGGACTTCATTTCGCCGGTGACGGTGGTGGTGATCTCGGTGTCCACCACCACCGTGTCGTCCTCGCCCACCTCCCCCCGCAGGATCAGCCGCGCAATCTCGTTCTCGATCTGCCGTTGGATCACACGCTGCACGAACCCACACCCTCGAGCATCAGCCACGTGCATCTTGTCATGGTGGCCACAGGCAAGCCGCCCTGATACGGACCGAAAGGAGCAACACGCTGCCAGCAACACAGGGCGACTCCAGAGGCGGATAGATCACGCTATGGACGATGAACACGCTCTGGCACGTCACACTGTCCGCTCCTACTCTGCGACCCGCTGTGCGCTCGGCTCACCTTGACAGGGCGGGCCCCGTAGGCGGGGTCGTAACCCATGACGCCCAGCAGCTTGATCGCGCTCTCTGTCACCTCAATCTTGATCTTACGGTCGGCCACCCGCTGCCGCACGCGGTCCAACTGCACACAAGAGGCAACGGAACAATCAGCACACGGGCGGAGCACCTCGATCGGGGCTGGACATACCAGGACGGCAGGCAGGCAAAGAAAGCAGCGAACAGGTGTTGGAGTCAGTCGTGGCAGGCCAGGGCGTGACGCAGCAGAGGAGGGCGGTGCGCGTGACGGGGCCTGACCTGCAGCCGCACGATCGACTCGATCTGGTCGGGTGCGAGCTGCTGGAAGACGATGTACTCGTCGACGCGGTTGATGAACTCGGGGCGGAAGTGCGCGCGCGCAGCGTCCAGCACGCGGTCGCGCATGGCCTCGTAGACGGTCTCTGCGCTGCCTAGCGCGGCGTCGAGGCCGGCGGTGATGTACTGGCTGCCGATGTTGGACGTCATGATGAGCACCGTGTTGTTGAAGTTGACCACGCGGCCCTGGCTGTCCGTCACGCGCCCGTCGTCCAAAATCTGCAGCACGCCAACATGCGCGCCACCCACGTCAGCACGGGTAAAGAGATCGAGGCAACAGGACAAGCAGAGGCCGCGGCGCTCACGCGCGACAGCATGTCAGTACCGAAACAGCAGGGTACCGCCAGGTGTGGCAGCGTGCAGCACCTTCGAACGTTGTGCAGGTTCGAAGAAAGAGGACCCGAACCGTTGCCGCGCCTGGTGTGCGGTGGGCTGACCTGCAGGAAGATGTTGAAGACGTCGGCATGCGCTTTCTCGACCTCGTCAAAGAGCACGACGGAGTAGGGCCGCCGGCGCACGGCCTCCGTCAGCTGGCCGCCCTCCTCGAAGCCGACGTAGCCGGGGGGCGCGCCCACCAGCCGGCTCACGCTGTGCTTCTCCATGTACCTGCAAGCAAGCGGCAGCGCGGGGGGTCAGCCACGGAAGACGAGCAATCAACGGGCACAGGAACGAGCCGGAACAGCTCCTCAAGGAAGCGGGCAATATGCAACGGCATGACCAGTGAAAGCAGGCACCAAGGGGGGTGGGTCCTCGATAGAAGCCTGGCAAGCTCCACTTTCCTCGACATTGCCCACGTTCGAACTGCCCATGTTCGAAGTGCATCATAAGGTCTGTCATGCGAGCGCAGTCACCGGGCGGCCTGCGCAGCGGTGGGGTTGCGTGCGGGCGCTCACTCGCTCATGTCGATCCTGACGAGGGCTTCCTCGGTATTGAAGAGGTAGGTGGCGAGCGCCTTGGCGAGCTCGGTCTTGCCGACGCCGGTGGGCCCCATGAACATGAGGCTGGCAATGGGCTTGTTGGGGTCGGACAGGCCCGCGCGGCTGCGCTGGATGGCCTCCGCCACGGCCGTCACCGCCACGTCCTGCCCCACCACGCGCTTGTGCAGCTCCACGTCCAGCTGCAGCAGCTTCTCGCGCTCACTCTCCTGCACGCGCGCACAGCAGCCAACGACAATGCGTCAGCACACAGACTAACAACAGGCGTGCTCCAAGTGGCAGGAAACTTGGATGACGAGGACCATAATGAACGGCTTTGCATCATCTTGAACCTCGTCATCGCGACTGGCAAACAAACCAATTGCACTGCCACTCTCGGGCTCTGCCTCATCTGGATATACGCCCAGCAACCTTGCACAAACGCCACGAAGCTCCCCGCACAGATCGTCCAGATATGAGTTGCGGGACCCAGCAGAAGCGATTATTTGCTCCGCGTCAGCTCTGCCTTACCTGCAGCTTGGAGATGGGGATGCCGGTCCAGCGCGACACAATCTCCGCAATGTCCGCCTCCGTCACCTCCTCGCGCAGCATGGACGCGCCGCTGGACTGGTACGCCGCCAGCGCGGCCTCCGCGCCGTCCAGCTGCTTCTGCAGCGTGATCAGGCTGCCGTACTTGAGCTCCGCGGCGCGATTCAGGTCGTAGTCGCGCTCGCTCTGCTGGATCTCCACGTTGACGCGGTCCATCTCCTCCTTGATGCTCTGGATGCGCGTCATCACGCCCTTCTCGTGCTCCCACTGCTCCGTCAGCTCGCGCTGCCGCCCCTTGAGCGTCGTCAGCTCGTCGTCCAGCCGCGCCAGCCGCTCCTTGCTCGCGCGGTCCGTGTCGTTCTTCACGCTCAGCTTCTCCATCTCCAGCTTGATCACGGAGCGGTCCACCTCGTCCAGCGCCGTCGGCTTGCTCGTAATCTCCATCTTGAGCTTGGCCGCGCTCTCGTCCACCAGGTCGATCGCCTTGTCCGGCAGGAAGCGGTCGCTGATGTACCGGTCCGCCAGCAGCGCGGCCGCGACCAGCGCGGTGTCCGCGATGCGCACGCCGTGGTGCAGCTCGTAGCGCTCGCGCAGCCCGCGCAGGATGGACACCGTGTCCTCCACGCTCGGCTGGTCCACGTACACCTGCTGGAAGCGGCGCTCCAGCGCGGGGTCCTTCTCGATGTACTTGCGGTACTCGTCCAGCGTCGTGGCGCCGATGCACCGCAGCTCGCCGCGCCCCAGCATCGGTTTCAGCAGGTTGCTCGCGTCCAGCGCGCCCGCGCTCGCGCCGGCCCCGACCACCGTGTGGATCTCGTCGATGAACAGGATGACGCTGCCGTCGCTGTCGGTGACCTCCTTGAGCACGGCCTTGAGCCGGTCCTCGAACTCGCCGCGGAACTTGGCCCCCGCAATCAGCGCGCCCATGTCCAGGCTGATCAGCCGCCGCTCCATGAGCGCCTGCGGAACGTCGCCCGCCACAATGCGCTGCGCCAGGCCCTCGCTGATGGCCGTCTTGCCCACGCCCGGCTCGCCGATGAGCACCGGGTTGTTCTTGGTGCGCCGGCTCAGGATCTGGATGCAGCGCCGGATCTCGTCGTCCCGCCCAATCACGGGGTCCAGCTTGCCCTCACGTGCCGCCTGCGTCAGGTCCTTGCCGTACTTCTCCAGCGCCTCGTACTTGCCCTCAGGGTCCTGCCGGACAGCACGGAACACGTCAGCCAGCGAGACTGAGAGCAGCCAAAAGGCTTTGATAACCTTTGATGTACTGGTGTTCGTCGAAAAGCCCCCATCTGTGCTTTGGCGAAGCTCATCGCGGTTAGATGATTTGTACGTCTTGAGAATCCAATCTGCACGTGCTAACACCTCTCGTCAGTAAGTGGTTCTACATTCTGAGAACTTGAGAAACACGATTATTCTGCATCTGGAGTAGACATGGCAATCCCTTCTCTATCTCCAATAAGGCTCCAAAACTCCAAAACTCCGGACTCCAAAACTAAAGGGGTACATGAACGGATCGCATGTCTACCCAAAATCCCGCCCTGAGTGACGCCTGTAGCCCACAGACACGCCACTAGGAAGTCTGAGTATCCTCAAACGCCAGTTTCCGGGTCACTGCCTTCTCCTACCCTGAGCGTGCTACCGCCTGCCGCGCAAGCGCCCCTCACCTGGTCCGTGACGTTCTGCTTGCCTCGCACTGCTGCGATGGCCTTGTCAAGCGTCTGGCGCGTAAGCTTGAAGTCCTTGAGCAGCTGCTGGCCAAAGCGCTTGTCGTCCACAAACCCCAGCAGCAGGTGCTCCACGCTCACAAAGCTGTCGCCCATGCCCTTCTTGCTGCTGCGCGCACGGTCAATCAGCGCCTCCAGGTCCCGCCCCAGCATGGACCCGTACTCCACGCCGCTCGCCTGCAACGCCCAATCAAACCAGCCCTCGCTCAATACGGACCCAAAAAAATCCGTGGAAACAAGTAGAACAGTAGAGATATACTTGGAAACAGGAAAAGCAAAAGACAATTCATTCTACGCGGTAAAGTGGTGTTTCCCGAACAAAAGACAATGGGCCTCACTTCCTCTTTTAAACCTTTGTATTTTGTTAATTCCAAACTTTCAACATTTTGGCAGAACGTAAACGCTTTTAGCGTATGGTGGGGTGAATCGCCTATTTCACAATTCTGGTGAGTGTGATCGAGAAGGAGGCAGGAGAAACACAGGAAGTCAGCAAAGTGGCATAAACTGAAAACACGCAGTCAACCAGACCAGAGACTGTTACTCCTATGCCCATCGTTATGTGAATAGTCACTGTCGCCAACGAAGGCACTTCGTATCTGCGCAGACTCCTTGCTGGGCCATGCATCTTGTGCCCAGAGGCGCAGGCGGCCTACCTTGGGCTGGCGCTGGATGAAGCGGTCGGTGGCCTGCAGCAGCGCGGTGTTGTCGGCCTCGGCCTTGCTGAAGATCCTGCGCGCCAGGCCGTTGCGCTGCTCCAGGAGGGCCTTCATCAGGTGCTCCGTCTCCACAATCTGGTGCTTGTTCTCCTTGGCCACGTCCGGCGCCGCCAGCACCGCCTGCCACGCCATGTCCGTGAACTCCCCCTGCGATATCTGCGCAACCAACAAACACCAAATCAGAGTCTTCTTTGATGGATACTACGCCATTGGCGTCAATTCGCATCATTTCAATCGCATCTATGGAAACAAATCTAGCGGCTCCACGGATGTATGCCGAAAGTGTCCGAACGGTGGCTCAAAAAGGATGCCGCTTCTGGCTGCTTCCAGCTTACCTTGCCTCCTCCTCCTGCTGCAGCTGCCGCTCGCGCCGGTGTTCCGCGAAAGTGGCGCGGACGACCCGCCGGAGAAAACCCTCCTGCCGGCTGCCACGCTAGTGCCGCATGCTGACTGGGAGAGGGACAGGCGCGCAAGCCAGCATGAGTTGGAATTAGCGGAGTGCTTCTATTGAATCGTAGCCTGCCTAATTGGATTGATGCCGCTTGGCCGCCCTGCTTGGTGCGTGGCTGGGGCGCGGAGCAGGCAATGCTGGGGGGGGCCAGGTGCCCTAGGTGCAGCACGGTAGAGGAGGCCATGGCCAGAGCGCGCTCCAACACTGCGGAACGTACCGACCCCAACAAGCTGCAAACCCCCGGAAGACGAACGGCAAACGCCTGAAGAGAAATGGTGGCAGAGCAAGCAATGCCAACAAGGTCAACCCTGCTAGGTGCCCCTTGCAAAACGGAAACCTCGTATAAATCAGTGCACCGTCTCTTGGATGCAAGCAGCGAACCCAATTGCCCGCTTCAACTGATGATAAAGCCTTCCGTGGTTTTGTGAAGCTGTAAATTCTACAAGTACCTAATTGGATTCTTGATTAAGTTGATGTGGAAGAAGTTTGCTCCTTGAACGGCCTGACTTTTCCAGAATTCTGAAATCGAACTTGAAGTGCTTTCTTTCTTTGACCAAATTGAGCGTTGTGACTCTGACTCTGAGTGAGCATGCACAGCCTGCCCTTCGGAGGGTTCGCGAGCAATCTAGAAACGATCCGGGAGTTGAAAAGCCCGGACTTTTCACACCGCTGGTATTAACAGACGTCGCATGATGACGCGTCAGCGCCCGTTCGTCATCCAACGGCTGTACACAGGTACTACTCTAAGCTCGGCTGGCCGAGGGTAGCGTACCGTACTTTTCATAACCGTTACCAACCATTACTAAGTTATGTCAGCCTTGAGGGACCGTGTTGGCACCGGGCATTCATTCGAGGGCCAGTGCGGTGCTCGTTCTAGTTAGGCCTGGCCAGGTTGCGTATCTGACCGGCGACGTGGTTCTGTGTACGCAAGAGCTGCTGACCGGGCATGGGGCAAGCAAATCGGACAGAGCCACGTGGACAGGTTGATGCGTGAGCGCCTTGAATTGCCGCCATCTTTAGACTTCAAGTTCAGGTTGCGTCCTCCGAGTCCTGTACTATTACTACCTATCCGCGAGCAGCACTGGCAGGCCGGACTCGTTTTGCAGTGCATGACGGGGCTGGTTCCGCAGGTCTGCTGCGCATTCGCACATTCCCCTAGTGATCCCCTTCAGGAGTGGGGTGCAATTGGCGTCTGCGTCGAGTCTGTTCTTTCGGGCCAAGCGTGTCATGTCTTTTGCTTTCATTTGAGGCACTCTCATCATCGCACGGAGCATACTTCTGCAAGTTGCAGGTTTCTTTCTTGTCGGATGCTAGAGGAGTTCACTTTGCTGTGATACTATGATTTGCAATCCGCTGGAAAGCCCGTGCCTCCCTGAATAGGGCCAGCTTCTGCCGTTCCCAGCCCAGCGCATCACCAGAATCTGTAGAATACCCAGTGCGCGCTCCGCAAGTCGCTCGGGTCACTCACATCTCCAATCTGACTTGGGGCCAAGGGGCGCGTGGGCCTAACACAGTCGGGACAGCCACATTCTTAGGTGTCATGGCCCATCGGTAATTGTGGTCATGACATTTTTGTAGGTTGTAGCGGGCGGAGACCCGTGCGGCCATGGCATGTGCGTGGAGCGGGCACCATCAGATGCAGCACGCTGAGCAGTCACACATATCCCTCAACCAAGGAACGCAGCAGGATACGCTTTCCTATACCGACTGGCATAGGCCGCATCATTGTGGGCAGCACTACGAAGGACCCGACATTGATGAGAACAGTAGGCGACACTCACGGCCAAAGCAGCTACCGGAAGTGAAGCGTGCAGAGCGTAGGCTAGTGCCTTTTTTGTAACTAGGACACCACGGCATCGTTGGGCCCAACAATGCTGGCCGCGCAGACCGCCGTGCGCAGGTTGGCGGACAGCCTCCCGCGCTCCCTCGTGGAAGATGTGTTCAAGTGAGTGGATCTACCCTTGTCCGCACCACCCCCTGCTCTTGCGCAGGTTACGAACTAAAGGAGTCTTATTGTGTGCATACTCAAGGGCAGAGAAATCGAAGCATAAGCCTGGTGATTTTGGTTGTATAATAGGACTGAGGCCCGGCAGCTTTGGATAGAGTGGTAAATTGGGGCCTAGCTTCAAGATACTTGCTTTTTGCAGGTGTTCATTCAAAAAGCAGACGGGTGTCTCGCTCAAGTACATGATGGACTTTGGGTAAGACTGCGCTCCTACTAAGAAGCAGTTTGTTGATTGCAATGAAGCTGTGCCTTTCCAGGTGCATTCTCCCTCAAGCCTGTGGCTCCGTTCGCATGGCCGTCTCTATTGAGAGTGATCCACCTGCCTGCCCTTCGTACAGGCCCGTGTGCCGCTGCCCCCTGCTGATCCCCGCTGTCTGCTGCAGGGCATATCCCACGGAGCGCAACCTGTTGATGTCTGCCCAGTTCCTGCACAAGGAGCTGCCCGTGCGGCTGGCCCACCGCGTGACGGAGCTTGAGCAGCTGCCCTATGGCCTCTCCGCCAAGGCCCCCGTCCTCAAGGTCAGCATGCCCGCAGGACTGGCCTGTACTCAAGGTGCAAGAGAAGCAGGGGCTTCTGTAACCACGACTCTTTCAACGCTGATACAGGTGTGAGGGCAGGCGGTTGAGCTTTCTGCCGTGCCTTATGGTATGGAAAGTTTTGCTTCTGGAAGAGATTTGTTCCTGCTCCTCGTGGTCTCGATTTCCTGTGGGGGTTCCATTGAAGCGCTTGGCGCGGTGCGTGTGCAGGTGCGCGACTGGTACCTGGACAGCTTCCAGGACCTGCGCAGCTTCCGCGAGATCGCGACTCCGAGCGACGAGATGGCGTTCACAAAGCTGCTGGCGGCGATTAAGGAGCGGCACAACCACGTGGTGCCCACCATGGCCATGGGCATCCAGGAGCTGAAGCACGACCTCGGCCGCCGCACCGGCTCCATGCACGACCTGCCCGACATCCACCAGTTCCTCGACAGATTCTTCATGTCGCGCATCGGCATCCGCATGCTCATTGGTGCGCACTACGGGCTTCCGCCAAGAGCGGGGGCATCTGGCCAAGTCTATCGATGTACACAGAGTACTTACTCAGTTGGACTTGGAGGCCACATCCGATTGTGGCCTTACAGACTTTTACTGTAAGCCGAAGTTGTTCCAGAGTCGAGCAGCATGTCACCTGAGAAGTCAGATATTCGCAAATGAGGCGTTTTTTCCAGTGCTGGTGCTGGCGCCTTATTAAGGCATTCTCATGTCGTGTTTCTGTCATCTCCATTTGTCTCCAAGCTTCTTCATAGCCTCCCTCGCCTAATCCTTAGAGGTCTTGTCCTCAGGTCGCCGCTTTTGGCGGGTCTGTGGGGATACTCACGCAGGTATATGTATTTGGTGCGCGCAGGGCAGCACATCGAGTTGCACAAGAAGACGCTGCCGGACGGCTACATTGGGCTGATCCACACGCGCTGCTCGCCGGTGGAGGTGGCCGAGATGGCCATCGAGGACGCGCGCGCCACGTGCATGCGCACATATGGGGGCGCGCCCGACGTCAAGGTCTACGGCGACCGCAACTTCACCTTCGCCTACGTAAGGGCCCTCTGCTTTTGAAACTGGACCTTCGTTTGGCGGCCAGGTATCAGAAGAGGCGACCTAGCCCTTCCTGCATTTGACGCGGTCTATGCAACTCTTCTAGATGCAATCTTTACGGAAGTAAGTTATTGCAATTGCCTACTTCCAACGCCCGTAGGTGGATTTGGAAAGACACTCCCCGTCTTCCCCCTCGAAACTTGATGAGCGCAACTGAGTCAAGGCAATGAGGTCGTACTTGTGTGCCAAAGGAGCAACTCTGTATGGTAAGCCGTGCTCTGAGCGGTGCTCCACTACGAGCTTGGAGCTGACAATCTAGTCCCAACAAAGTTTGGTGTCCTCAACAGAGAAGTCGGCCTCAAGGTGAGCGCTCTTGCCTTGCTCCTTCTGCTTGCGTGCGTGTTCGCTGTCGGGGCTGACCCGGAGTTGTGGCGCATGCCAGGTGCCGAGCCACCTGCACCACATGCTGTTCGAGCTGGTGAAGAACAGCCTGCGCGCGGTGCAAGAGCGCTTTGATGACGCGGACGTGGAGCCGCCGCCCATTCGCGTCGTTGTTGCCGACGGCCTGGAGGACGTCACCATCAAGGTACAGTGCAGGCAGAGCAGGCGCAGGGACTGCAGCGTTGCATGCGTTTGAGAGGCAGTAGTACAAGCAGTGCGAGATAGTCTTAGAACATCATACGGGTCCTCCTCTACCGCTGTCCCGAGCTGCCAGACCTCATGGAAGGAGAACGGGGACTCAGATTGAGCGGCCTGGACCCCCTACAGTCTAGGACCCCCTGCGCGTCCAGAGATCGACGTCGTTGAATCCGGCCGTTATTCGGCTGCACAGCAGTGGTCAGTGATTCCGTTAAATCCAGAATACTGTACCACTTCACGAGTCCGGTTGAATTTAAACGGACTCATCAAGGCCCATGATAACGTTCTTTGTCGTGTGCGGTGGGGATTCTAGGCTGTAAGGAGGGTCGGGGAAGCTCAACTCGTGTCCATGTTTTCCTCAAGGGGTTCCGCCAGGCTGTCCGCTGGTATCTCGGCTGCTATGACCTCATCCTCGTCTCACTTCTTTTCTGTGCTTGCAGATTTCGGACGAGGGGGGCGGCATCCCGCGAAGTGGGATGCCCAAGATCTGGACGTGAGCACACGTGGCATCTTATCCTCTGGCCTGATCATTTCATTGCTATTACTGTCGCCTGTCAGTCTTGTGGCTCCTGCTCTGTTGCAACCGGCATGGCTCGGCAGGCAGTCCTACCCATCCCTGTGGCCCAGGAAAACTGCTTCCGACATTCCCCGGAACTTTCGAGATCCTTGTTCGAGTGGCTTATATTTCTGCCCGCTGTTGTCCGAGGAGTCGCGCCGGTCTTCTGATGCGTCTCCTCGTTACCACTGAGGAGCACTTGCGAGTGTTCGCGATGGCTGTCCTCTTGGCGCTGTGCCGTGCCCGCTGTCGAGTCCCCCGCCGCTGCGCGACGCCGGCTGAGACACGTGCCTGCTTGTCGCGCAGGTACATGTACACGACGGCCCAGTCGGTGGCGGCGCCCGACAACATGCCCGCGGTGTTGGCGGGCTACGGGTACGGCCTGCCGGTCAGCCGGCTGTACGCCAAGTACTTCGGGGGGGACCTGCAGATCATCTCCATGGAGGGCTACGGTCAGCGCCCGCCGCCGCAGCTTGACCTGCTTCGACTCTCGTCTTTTCTTGAGTCCCAATTTCGTATCTCCTCAATGGCAAGGAGTGGCGTGGTACTCAAGGAACTTAGGGCAGCTCCTGAAGAGCACCACGAATGGTGTCTGAGAAACTTTTTCGCTGTTGAGCATTGAAGTCGTCAGTGTAGGCGGGTCGTGCCTCCTCACTGATAGGCATCTGAAAATCTAGAACCTGATGTGAGCGAACTTTTCCTGTTCTGCTCTTTTTGTGCAGGTACGGATGCTTACTTGCATCTCAATCGGCTTGGAAACGTTCAAGAGCCTTTGCCGTGAGGAGTGCAGTCTGCCAGGAGGGTCCTTCTTGTCTGCGAATGCTCTGTCAAGTTCAGCGTAGCGCCAGACAGGCTACGAGCAAAGGAGAGCAAAGGAGATTGCGTGAAATCTGGATCTGGGCAGAAGTGCACGTTTTCAGCATAGTAGAGAGCTCGCGAACTTGCTTGTGCAGTGTCTATGTTTTGCCATAAGCAAAAGATTATGCTAGGGCTATTATTTCCATCATAAACTGAGCTGCTGTTTGAGGTGCATCACATGTTCGGTTACCCAAGTTGCACTGTTTACGGGGTGTCGGGCACTTCTTCTCTGACAGTTTTTGTAGTAAGCAATTCGCTTTCTCGGCAAGTGCGCCACTCCGTTTCTCAAAATCAGAAAATTTTCCGATTGGAGATTAGTGGCGGCCGGTGCTGTGAAATTTTAACACACATGTTATAGCGACGGTCCTCTGCAAGGCATGTTAATCCGACGAGTAATCCATATGCACGGTCACAGGACACGATAATTGACGGAACATACTTAATGTGCCACATGAGCAGGCTAGGGCCCGGGCCGGTCTTCATGACGATTGGATGTCACTACGTCCATGAATCATGACGTTGCAGTGCCTGCCAGGCTGTCATGTCAGTGTGGAAGAGTGCATGCGCGGCACAAGCTGACTCGTGCAGAAACTGTTTGGATATGTCAACCCATGGTAGTTGGGCCGACCGTTCGCAACCTAGCTGACAGTTGGAAGGGAGATGTACTGAGGTCGGAGGAAACCCATGCGCAGGCTTCCATGGGAAGTGCCCGGCCAGGATCGCCATACGGTGCCATGTCATGACGATGAGTACGTGAGAGTTGAAGCTAGTGATTGCCATTCTAATATATGAATATGAATAAGAGTGACTGCATATGAATGATCGAAAAGAGTTGAGATGACCAGCCTGCGCTTCGGCTGATCGAACTAGGATCATGATCACGCGCGCCAGGCGTTGAAGGCCGGTACTGCCTAGATTTTCCCCCCTAGCTTTTGAAGGGAAATCAGTTGTTGAAATGCAAGCTAGTGGGCATCATGTCATGTCATGTTGGACTCGGAGTGCTACAATCAATTAAGTCTTGTTCCACAGCTGCCACAGGTTCCGACGTTTGCGGATCGCTAGTGGACAATGTAGTGGAGCGCGTACCCGTGAGCACTATAGCTTGCGAAAGTTGCGGCGAGGGTCGAGTTGCAGCGGCACATGCAAGGTCGGCCGCGAGGAAACGAGCGCACTTATTGACTTGATCATAGAAATTGCGCGGTCACTGCAAGGGCAATGAGTAGTCCTTTGACCTGAAATGCAAAAGTCATGGTCTGTACGAGCTTCAAATTGCAACCGTCGATGATGTCAGCCACAACTTTTGAGAGCACAAGCTTAATACAATCTCACTGATGGATGCGGCATGTCTATGCCATAGAGGATCTCCTTCAAGTTTCTCCTGTGGACACATGTAGACCACGGAAAACAAGGATTATAATATTTTACCCTAGTCATCACTATTAAAGCGTTGGCCAAGCCAACTCAAAGTCAAGTAGTGAGTGCCACAGCACGTTCAATGTCAACAGTATAGTGGCCGTAAAGCTAATTCTCCAGGGCCTACGAAACCTGACAAGATACAGACTTTGAACCTAAGGTTCCGAGGCCCCATTACGAACTGGGAAGGCTCCCTTCCCAGCTTTGCTTAATTGACGCCAAGATGCTGGCGTGTGAGCTGGCAACTGAGGGGCTCCGGTCCGGTGCAACTCCAACACAAATCTGTTAGCGGAGGGTTTATTGATGCTTTTTGACTCTACTTGCAACTACATGTGCTTAAACGTGCTTCGCCCTTGAAACCCCTAGCTCAACAACACGGGGGATCTTGTTGGCACCAAGCCAAATGAAAGAGCTCTTTCCAGCTCCAAAATTACCCGAATATCATCACCTGATCTCACAAGGGGTGGCAAGAAAAGCCACTCAGCTGTGACAAAGCAAAATATCAATGTCAGCAGAATCTTGATCGCTTTGGGAGGCTGGGGCATCTTGGGATGTGACCGCCGTACCCACCGTTCAACGCAAAGGGCAACTCCGTGCAGCAGAAAGAAAGCTGTCACTTCTCCAGAGACGGTGCGCGTTATGTACCAGAATATAAGCTCGTGCATTATGCCCGAAACTGCAAATGCTGCTAGCACGGACACCAGTCGTTGCTCGAGGGTCATGAAATTGAGACGCTCTCTAGGGGCATCCTTGAAACCGTCTTGCTTTGAAACACTCCCATTTGGCGCTCCTCCTCTAGCTCTGCCATTTGCTTGTAACATCAGATCCCGTTTTGCCGATCTCTCCAGAAGGGGCTCATAGACAGACTCGCGTAGAAGTGCGCTGACGGTCAAGTTCCATCGTCGAGCCCAGAAATCGGACACAGATGCTGATAAGAATGGGCGATCAAAGTCAGGCAGCAACTCCACCCCCAGGACCCAGGATGTGAGCGCACCAGACAGGTTCATGACGGTGGAGATGAAGAGGTACAGATTCAGGTACCAAAAGAAATGATACACCTGGGCGTGCAGGACCTCCCCATTGCCATTGATTTGTAATGTGACCAGCAGGATTCCCACTTTCAGCAAGCTCTGGAGGAATAGATTCCAAGTTGTATCTTTCTGCTTTTGGAGCCCTTTGCTTTTTGACGACCTCAGATGGATGGGGCAGCACAACACGGCGCAGAACTGGAACAAGCTCTGATCAACTTTCGGATCTACTAATGGACCCCTCCCAAATGCTAGCATGATCAGCTTGAATGAAGATAGCCAGCTGACGATGCAGCCTACCACCGCGGTCGGCAGGACGGCGATCCGAACGTCATAGACTAGAATGGGGACACTCAGATAGAAGGCCACCACTGGAGCCGCCAGCAGGCAACGAAGGTAGAGCAGCTTCTGAGGCTTGATGAAGGCGAATGAGTACAGGGAAGTCACGAGTAGACAGGCAAAGAGGCTCAGGTTGGGGCCAGCCATGACACGCCGCCTTCTTAAGCTCACAAACCGCCCTGGGCGAGCTACGAGTACCCATTAATAATAATAACTCTCGAGTTCTTTGATGCCAACGAACCAGCTTCTCCAGCTGAGCTTGCGCAGTGCTCGTGATTGAACGCTTGCAATGGCATTGCTAGCTCCATGATGCACCACATGAAACTCAAGAAAAATAATAGTAAGCCCAGATAATAGTAAGGTAACCGCACTGTGACGGGTAGGGTTAGTATGGTGGTTAGGGTGGGTACGGGTGCGGAGCGGGTGTTTCATTTCAGGTTAGGGTTTTTAGTGTTAGTCGGAGCTTACTATTATCTTGGCTTACTATTATCTTTCTTGAGAATTATCACCACCCATGCCAATGGAGAGGTATCATCATGTGGTACCAGCGTCTGATTTCGACGCCAAATCATTAATTATGAAACGTTTGCGAGTTTCGGCAGCCCTAGCGTTACCTGCCAAACACAACCAATTATTAGCTAATGATGAGGTAGGTACTTAAAAGGAATAAACCCCTTAAACCCTAAGTTTCGACTCGCGCTGGCGGGCACTGGCGGCAGCTGAGCGGCTCGATCAGGCTATTTAGGCAAGTTAATTATAGCATGAGCCGACACAGTTTAGGAATAGGAGTATACCTAGCATGGCCCGGCGCCGTTCGACCGTGACGTGCAGTGCCGGCGGCCAACTGCGCGACTCGGATGTTTGATTGCGCGGCGGCCGGTTCTACCTACTTCTAGCTGGAGGTAGGAAATATACCAGGTATATAATATGTTAAAGTTGGTCAGTTTAAAGTTATCGGACAGGCACGTGTGGATATGTGCCAGAGCAGTTGCCGTTTCTTGCGTGAGCGATGGACCGACAGCTCGTAAATGATAAAGGATCCAACCATTACCACCCTGTTCCGAGTTCAGTGCAGATTGAGCAGAGTTGCTGTGATTCGTGAAGCCTGAAGCCTGACAAAGGTGCCGGTGCTGCACTCCAAAATTCCAAGTTCCACATTTCCAAGTTCCACACATGCTCGCAATTTCGCCCACCTCGTGATGTCATGATGGCTATGTCTTGTAGACAGGCAATTGGCCTGCCCCTCCCCTCCTTCGAAGTTGCCCCCTTTGGCACATTTCTTGGGAGTGGGGACCCCTTCTTGATCGCACCTCTGCGCACAAGTTCCGGTGCCTCTACCTCGGGCAGCTTAGTCACGCCAGTCACTGCATCCAAGGAGAGTTTGAGCGGTGAGCAGAGATGGAGGGAAGGGGCCAGGGGACAGGTGGCAGCAGAGGCGTTCAGAGGCAGAGCTCGAAGAGCAGGGATCAGCGAGATTATTGGCACCAATGCAGCTGCTACCACCGTCTCTCTGACGGACACTCAAAAGGTCAGAGCGTCATTGAGCAGAATTCTCAAAGCGACCATCCTTTTCCTTTAGTATGCGTTGGCCACGATGGTAGTGTTTGTGGGAATATTCGAGTGTCCAGCTTGCACATGGCCACCTGGCTGCTCTGATCAGCTCCTACATTAACAGGAGGCCCATAACATTCTATACTTGAGCTCAAAGCTTGCTTACCCTGAAAATACTGGTGGTGGAAAACTCGCTAACCACTTAAGAGCAAGACCTTCCAATCAAGAGTTGGACAAGGCTCTACATTCAAGTTCAAATAGCAAACATTATGTGATGACTGGTTTTTGCTCCTTTGTTGCAAAATTTAATGGAAATGCGATGGATATGGTGACGCCTCCTTCATTGGCGAGGTGCTTAGGCATGTGTCTGTTGCGTCGACTTTCTGCTTGGAGTCGCTTTATAGACAGCTTTTTTGTAAGCCCTCTCTACCGCCTGACAAGTCCTACTTCGCCTGGATGTAATCTTTGTAAGTGTCTCTCTGGCGTACGCTAGACATTCAGCATAAGACTTCCGCAAGCCAAGTAATGCTTTCGGTTGCTGCCTTTTCAATCAAGCACCGTGGTGGCCTCCATGGTCTTACTTGGCGCCACTTTGTTTGGCCGCCCCTGCTCGGCGCGGTGTCGCTGAGCCGTGGTGTGCGTGGCGCTGGCGTGGTGCAGGCGCTGGTGGAGGAGGCGGAGGAGGAGCAGTGGGGCCTGTACCAGCTGGCCATGGAGGGCAACACCACCAAGAAGGTCGAGTTCAGGGGGACGCGCCTCGGCTACCACCCTGAACTTGGCAAGGGCATTGTGGCCGCCTACGACATCCCCGCCGCCGACAAGCAGCGGGTCAGCATGCCTGCCGCTCTGGTCACGCTGTAGAGCCCCACATTGCCTGCCCCCTGTGTAACGTTGGTGCAATAGTTAGTCTGCTCTTAACTTGTTGGTCTCGCTTAGTTTCTGGAAGGGGATCAAAGCGGAGGCTCAGGCTTGAGTCACATACTTGATGCACAGTGGGTCTGCTTGCCCACGACCAGCGGGTTGAAAAGTTGGCATTGCCCCGAGGTCTTGGCCCACAGCGTTTGAGTCGCTCAGTGCCTGGACTGGCGCGGTCTGACTCGGCTGGCCCCCGGGTGCAGATCATCCTGGAGGTACCGTCGTACCTGTTTTGCTCCCTCAGCGCCTACACTCCTTTCCGCTTCCGGCCCGACTTCCTTGAGCCCGACAACCCTGTCGTCGCCGAGCTCAACGAGACCGACGAAATGGTGAGCCCGTCGCTCGAGCGACCGCTTCCTGCTAGCCTAACTCTCCCAGGGGCCAGGGGTCTTCCTGGGTCACATCATAAGGCGTGTCCTGGGAGGAGGTACTGCCGGACAGAGCCTTCGAAAGGGTGTTGTGCCAGCCGCTCTACATTGACGGCCCTACCGTCAAATGCATTTAATTCGACGAACGCCCTCACAGCTTTGCCGGCTGCGTCATTTATGTGACCCGGGTTGTGCTGTGCAGTTTGACGGGGACACGCGGCTGGCGCTGCTGCTGCTGATGCTCAAGAACGACGACGGGTACGACTTCCCGCTGCGGCCCGACTTCTGGCGGCAGTACATCGGGTACTACCCCGGCGTGGAGGACTGCCCCAGCCTGCTGCTGGCCACGCCCGACGAGCTGGCCGAGCTGCAGGACGACCACCTCGCACAGCACTTCCGCCACCAGCAAGCGCGCTCCGAGGCCCTCCACAAAAAGCACTTCGTGAGCGCGCCAACCCGACCGCCCTGCTGCACCTCGCCATTGCGGCCTGCCGTTGGTCATCTCATTCTTCTGCCCTTGAAGGCCTCGAGGGAGCCAGACTTCGCCGACGATCTGGACCTTCACGTGGGAGTGAAGCGCCGGGGAGTGGACTTCGAAAACAAAAGGTTTGACAAATGATAAAGTAAGGGCCGGAGTTGATCGTAATCTGGTGACCCCCCGTGCATGGTTGCAGACGGGCGCGGTGCCGCGGCGGCAGCGCGTGATGTGCCGCACGCTGGACGAATTCCGGTGGGCGCTGGCCACGGCGCGCGCGTACCAGCTGCCGTACGAGTGGCACGTCTCCTCGCAGGCCTTCCCGGCCAGCGCCCTCATCCCCTATGCCGGTGAGGCCGCATGCCGTGCAACCTTGGGCACGTCTCAAATATCTCATTCCCTCCTTTGGGGGCTGCCACGTTGGTTCTGATGCGGGTCTTTCAGTCACTGGCCTTGCTCCTTGCCCAACATTTGAGACAGGTTCTTCGTTTTCAGATTACCATTTTTGGATTCTCGACTTCTTCGCCCAAGCGAGCCCACCCAGGGCGGAGAGCCTCCTGCGAGAGCTGTGCCCTGTTTTTGTCAGTCGAGATCGTAACCCGGACGGCGAATCCTCTGACGGGCCAGATATGCTTTCTCCGATGGTCGCCCTCTGCTTTCCGTCCGCCGGCGCTGACGCCCCTCGTTGCGGTGCAGATCTGCTGAACCACTCGGACTCCGCCAACTGCACGTACCGCTGGAACCGCAACACACAGGCGCTGGAGGTGGTGCTGCTGGCGGGGCGCGCCGTGGCCGCGGGGGAGCAGCTCACGCTGGCCTACCACCACAAGGAGACCAACGCGGGGCTCATGAAGAACTACAGCTTCGCCCTCAAAAAGGTGCGCGCCTGCCGGTCAGCCACACCCAGCCACCAGGCCTCTCTCAAGGGCTGACAAAGAAGGTTGCATCAATTAGATGCACGAGGTGTACAGGCAGGTTGTGTCGGCGTGCTTCTTCTATTGCTCCCTTCTTAGCGGAGTCCCATACGAGGTCCCCTACTCTACACGTGGTCGGTTGTTGCTGGCACGTGCCTGACTGTGGCCGTGGTGCGCAGAACCGGTACGAGCGGGTAACCGTGGAGTCGGATGCGCGGGTGCATCACGACTCGCTGCTGTCGGCCCTGGGGGTGGCCGGCATCGAAGACCACTACTCGTACAAAGGTGAGCGTCCGGCCCGGCGGTCCCCTCTGAAGCCCGATCGCTAGCCTGCTTTAAACTTGCGTGATGACCATCCAGAACTTCGCAACGGTCTCGATCATTTCCGTCCTGTCGTGTGATGGTTGCTTCGACACCAGGGGTGTTTTCTCCACTGTGCGCGTACGCTCGTGTCCCCCATGTTCACTATCTGCGGGTGCCGTGCGCGTGCAGGTCCGTCGTCCAGCTGGCGCGCGCAGTTCGTGGACGGGCACGTGTACGCCGCGCTGCGGTGCCTGCCGCAGTGGTACGGCCCCGGGGTGCCCCCCCTGCCGGAGGACGAGCGCGCCGCCGCGCTGGGGCTCGCGGACGCGTACCGCGCACTGCTGGACGCCGCACCCACCACCCTGCAGCACGACAGGGACCTCCTCGGTGAGCAACCCTCGCTGGGGAACTCGGGGAGACGATGTGTCGTGCCCTTTTCTCTGCTCCTGCGCATGCTTTTCACTGCTGTCTTAGAAACCAAGCAGCGGACATGTTGCTGTTGGTTCGGCTCGTACTTGCTCTTTCTGCGGGATCCAAAATGGGCCCTCGGAACTTGGTGATTCCAGCGGAGCGGATAAGACTTCTCGGATCTTGATGCGTGGTTGGAGTTTTCAACGGACGTATTTCGCCGCTCTGTGACTTCGTCCCTATGCTGCTGATGTCATCCCCATCGTGTGCATCCTGCAGCCCGGGCGCAGGATGACGTGGGGCTCATCAGCGTTCGTCACACCACAGCTCTCAAGTGAGGACCTGTCGTCTGGAGCTTTCCCCCAAATTGCTTCTTGGCAATTCCTGCACTGCTTGCTTGGTTCCTGGAGGCGGATGACGTCTTGCACTGCAATGCCCGGCTTAATGGTTTTGTTCTTTTTCTGGCAGGTACCGGCTAGAACGGAAGGAGTTTATCTCGAAAATAATAGAGGTGTTGCTCTTTTACGCTGACGACATTGTACTATGACGGTCTCGATAATCAGAGGATCTCTACAACGTTTCATTCAAACGCCTTCTTGTGTAGAAGCTGGTCAGATAAGATCGATGACACGATTCAAAAAGCATGCGCCTTTATCGTCTTTAAGGCTGTGGCACACATGCTGGCATGTGCAGCCAATCTGCGCGGCCGCCAACTCCAGGACCTCTGGGCCATGATTGGCCTGCTGCATTGAATGAAAAGCTCGCCATGCGCCAGCCTCATGGCATGCTTGAACATCACGTGCAGCGCAGGTATCGTCCATATGGTCGGTTTACACCGTGGATAATCTTCGATCAGATATTGGGCGCATTGCGAGATCGAACTTAGAAATGCAATATTGCATGCATGTGATCAGATAATTGGATCATGCAAAAATTGCACATTTGCACATGGACCATGCCAGGCAGGCGCCCGCTCACAATTATACGGGATGTACGTCCGACCGCGCGCGGTCGGACGTACATCCCGTACGGTATACATCCTGGCATATGTTATGTATGCCACATGAGAATCACAGCAAATATGGTTTAGGTGGCCGCGCGCGCGGTTAGAAATGGTATAACTTACGGTCTAAGGTTAGAGATCAAAAATGCATCCGATCGATCTCACCGTCACTGATTGGCACAGTGTCCAACACTGTATTTGACGTTCCATGCACGAAATATTCATGACTTGAATATATACCAGAAATTGATGCATAGTGCCAGTGGCTGTTTGGTCTCACTTAGTAACATGTGAGCTCATTTCCGACAAGACCGTGCTAACCAACTGTCTAAGCTAGCTAGCTAGTGGGATCCCCGACTCGGACTGACTTGCAGATGCAATAGATCATAGTCGTGCTCAATTCGCTCCGTTCGGCGTGATCCTCATTCACAGTCGATACCAATAATCACGTCCGGATTGCGCCCTGCCGGTCAGAACGTAGCACTGGCCGCTTCAATTTGCCCACCATTTTCTACCCAACTCGCGGCTGATAAGTAGCACGATTGTGCATAAGCTGCCCAACGATCAGCTCTTGGCGACCGACGAGCAGAGGCTGGACAAATGACCGGACTTATGTACCGGTCTCAATCGCATAACTGCGTCATCTGCAGCTTGACATGTTCCAAGATGCCCGATGGCCCCCACTGGACAAAGGCACCAGCATACGCGCTGGTGCAGCCGCCCCTGCATCTGCTGGATGTCACCGGCGACCACACGGGGCCCGTGCATCGGCCAGGGGTCTTCGCGCCTCCACTCTGCGAACGCGCTCGCAGCGGGCCCGAAGGTGGGCGTTTGCCACTGCGGATTCCTGCTCTTGACTGCCCAACCCTTCGGTACCGTGCCGGGAAGAGTGGCATGGCGGGTTGCGGAGAATGGGTCACGCCAGCCGCGCGTCCAGGGGCCGCGCTATCGCTCAGCAGCGGTCACGAGCACCACGTTATCCCCGCGGACAAACACCTGCATTGAAACCAATCGAACATGATCGAGCCACGTGACCGACTTTGGCTTGTCGAGATGTCGACAGACCACAATAGCCTACATCACGATAGTTCATGTGACTGATCAGAAAACCAAGATGTTCAGGTGGTAGGTGCGTGCGTTCTGGGACGAGCCAACCTGCTCAAATCTTGCCGGGACGAGAACTCGTCCCAATACTAGTACGGGCTGGAGCGAACGAAACGCTCCACTCTATGACGGCCATCTCTGCGCCTCAACCAGGACACAAGCAATTTGCAGTTAATGGGCGCAAGTATATCCAGGCCCAAGCTTCAGGCTCGCACTGCCATGCCGCAGGTTATTATTAACGAGCGGGCATTTTCTAGGGGCATTATTTTCTCTTTCCAGCCCCCTTCCTGTTCTCGAAGACCATCTGCTCCGCGTCCTTGCCACGCACTAGCTGCCCCCCGCCGTTCTCCTCAGAATTTACATGCCGCGTCCTGCACCCTCCTGCTCCCCTGCTCCCCTCTCTCCCCGCCTCACCTGGTTGAGGTGCCGCTTCCTGTGCTCCAGCTTGGGGAACAGCCGCTCCTCCTGCACGCGCGCCCCGCCGCCCGCTGCGCCGCTGCCGCGGCCCGCCCCGGCCTTCACCCACACCGTGCGCGGGGCCTCCGTCAACACTGCGCGCAGGCAGGAGGGCGGTCATTGGAGAAGCCAGCCACAAAGTGCACGGCTCCTCGCGGAGCCGAGACAAATGCAAGTAGCTCTGCCGGCAGTGACGTGCAGAGGCCGTTCGGTCGAGAGCACCCGGTTGTTGGGCGGGAGAGGGTAGGGCAGTCAGCCGCGTACCTGAGTAGCTCTCCTCGACGTCCTGCAGCACCTGCACACGCGGCCCGGACCAAATGTCAAGAGCCAAGCAGATTAAGGAGCGGAAGACGCCCGAAGTCTCCTGAAGCATGTCGAGCGACTAGAGAGTATCCTGGGGGGGAACTGCAATACCCTTTGTACAAACAAAGCAGGCAAACCGCCCAGAAAAGGCCACACCAGGAGTTTGAGTGCAGCAAGCCCGGGGGCGTATTTGGGGGCGGGGGACCGACGCACCAGGTTGCAGAACTTGTCGAAGGCCTTGAGGAAGCCAGTGGCGGTGCCGCGCAGGCCGCGCCGGTGCCGCGTGTACACCTGCACCGGCCGCCGCTGCGCGTAGCACCGCTGCAGCAAAGCCAGGGGGCCCTCGCCGCACGAGGCTGGCAGGAGGCAGGGGGGACCGGCGATCAGCGGGTGATTCAGAGAACTCCGATTCAGGGACTAACATCGCCTGCTCAGGCAGCAATCCCCTCGTTCGTTTCCG